GTCAAGTGCTGTCCGGGGAGGCCACGGGCCATGCTGGGGGAAGGGCTGGGGACCAGCAGGCAGAGCTGTGGAGCCGGGGTGCAGGGCCACCCTGGCCCCAGCCCTGGTCTCTGTCTTCTTGGCTCCCTTGACCAGCATGTTGGTACCCCCAACCCCAGACCCCTCTACCCCCGAACTCACCCCTCGAGAGCCCCTTTTATGCTCCCACCCCCTCTCATGCACTTTGACCACACGCCCCAGTCTGCATTCAGGCTCTTTTGACTAAATGGAATGAGGAGCTCGTATTCCCAGACTAGCCACCTAGGGCAGGGAGGACACCCCACCAGGCCCTTGAGAGCCCCTGAAGCCTGGCCAGTGCTGTCCCCATACTGTCCCCCATGAGGCCCTGGTCCCTGGAGGCGCCTGCCTTCCCACCCCTCCCTCACGCTGAACTGGGCTCCCAAATACCGCGGCCGTGGCCACAGCCGGCCAGGACACCACAGCCCTGAGCGTCAGGCATGGGCCCGGATCAGAGGGGCAGAAGCTGATTATAGGTCCCTGGGCCAAACCCAGGGCCCGCCTGCCAGCCCGCGGGGCCCTGCCACCCCCACCCCTAGAACCACAAGGTTGGAGCATCTGGTCCCGTCAGCACAGCGGGCAGAGGGAGGGGCGTGAGGGCTGTGCTTGCTGCCCGCGGAGGACAGAGTTGTCTGTGTGTGGCACGGGGCGGGAGGCTGGGCTGGGCTCGGGCAGCCTGTCCTCCCCACCCAGGGGAGCCTGCCCCACCCGGGGCCATTGTACAGGTGGGGAAACTGAGGTTGCGCGAGCCGCACCCAGCTGGGGTCACGAGAGCATGGGGACTGTCCTGCCTCGCCCAGGGCGCTTTCCCGGCTCTCAGGGCCTGGGCCGTCCGGGAAGCACCACATCGGCAGGGGAGCAGCATGCTGGGAAGGCCTCCCCAGGGCTGCGGGCCCTGGAATGGCACAGACTCTTCTCCTGGTCCTCAGGCCTGTCTTGGGCCACCGCGAGCTGCTTGCCCTCGCCCTGCCTGCCTGCCACCAGGCCACGGTCCTCCACCCTGTCCCCCCACCATGCAACTGGGCAGGGACCTAGGGGCCTCGTGTGGGGTCTGTGCACGGGCGCCCAGTGTAGGCTGGTGGTGTGGCTATGTGGACACGCGTGTGCCCTGGTGGGTGAGCTGCAGTCCGTGGCCTGCCCATGGGGACAGGGTTCCCAGGACCTGTTGCTCTGCAGTATCTGACCTACTTCTAAGTCTCTGGGTCTGGCCCAGGCCGCGTTCTCGACTCCTCCGGGAAGTGTGGGCCTGTGTCCCAGCCCAGAGACTGTGGGCCAGGAAGGGCGGGCCAGGGCAGCCCGAGGAGCCCGTGGCCCAGGGCTCCTGCCCTGCCTCTGGCTCTTGGGCTCCAGGGACACCCAGGCCTCACCCCCTCACCTCTGCACGTGGCCACCATACTCTGAGCTTCCCCGATTGTCTTAGATGGGATGAGGGACATTCCTCATGCCCTTTTGAATTCTACCAGGGAGGTGTGCTAAGCACCCACTCCTGGCGTTTGCCAAGAACAGCCCTTCCTCTGCCCTGTCCACAGGACAGCAGGTAGGACCAATCTATCAGTGAAAACCCAGGTCATGTCCTGGGTCCCGGTCCAGGTGCGGGTTTGGGCTTTCAGTGCTGGAGTCTCGGTTTAGCGTCTTGGATCCTGGGTCTTGAGTCCTGGATCTGTGGTCTGGTTTTAGAACCTTGGGTTCTGGGTCCTGGGTCTGGGTCCTGGAGTCTGGGTTTGAGGTCTGGGTTTAGCAGCCTGGATCTTGGAGTCTGGGCTCAGGTTTGGGTAGCAAGACCCGGGTCAGGGTCTCCCACATTGGGTCTGGTCCTAGCCTCTGGATTATGGGTTCCAATAGTCAGACCTAAGTTGGGGTCTGCATTAGGGTTCTGGGTTTCAGGCCCAGGGTCAGGGTAGGGATCCTGGGTTCTGGGGTTTCGTTTCCAGAAACCATCCCTCCTGCGCCCCCTGCTGGCTGCTCATAGTGGTCATCACTTCTAAACTGTGGGGTCCCCTCACCTTTGTAGCCTGTGGACAGGGAGTGGGCTGCAAGGCAGGGCTGATGGAGGTGGGCGCGGGAGGCGGCTGGGGGCTTGGGAGAGCTGCTCGCTGAGTTACAGCCCTGGGGTCCCTCTGCAGTGGCCAAGCTCTTGTTGGCAAATCTCCCCCGTCTCCTCGTCCCCTCACCTCCCTCGAGGAAGGAGTTTTGGTAAGGGGCTCCAATCCTTTGTGGGTAGGTGAACCAAGATTCTTGGGTGGCCGGTCACCCAGAATTTATTGGGTGTCCTGGGCCTGGGGGCATGTGGCTGCGGAAGGGCAGTTTCTATTCGTGGGAGGACAGAAAGACCAATGAGCAAGAAAATGGGGAAGCGTCCATTTCAGGGTGCTCAGGGACGCAGGGCTGGATGGAGCGGGAATGGAGTAGGGCCAGGGTAGCCCAAGGGGGCTGCTCGGAGGACGTGACAGCTCTCTGAGACCAGGAGGTGACAAGTAGCAAGCCATGGCCAGAGGCCCGGACAGCGTAGCAGGGAGGGCACGCAGCTTGTGCAAAGGCACTGGAGGCTGAGAAGCACCTAGAAGGAGGCCACTGTGGCCAGGGGTCTCCCGCCTCAACCCACTAGGCCCTCAATCTTCCTTCGTGTCCCCCCTATCTGAGGATGGGGGTAATTCCGGCAACCAGAGATGGCTCTGGAGCAGGGCCTGGTCGGGTCTGCGTCAGACGGGGCCACAGCTCAGACTCTGAGCAGAGCTGGGGCCGCAAGGGGCAGGCTCCAGACCCCCGGACTCCGCTCTTCAGGCCCCGCGGCTGGCCAGCATCTGGCCTGCGATGTTCCTGCTCTCTCTGGGCGAGAGGCTCAGGCTGGACCCGGGACAAAGGTGAGCCCTGGCCTTGGCCTGGGTGCTCCTGCTGTGCCCTCTTCCCCCGTGCACCTGCCCACCCCCGCCCGGCTCCCGGCCTCAGTCAGTCAGCCAGCAGTGAAGGGGGCAGGCCTTGAAGGGCTCCCGCTGGTCCCTGCAGAGTCCCTGCCGGGCTGGGCAACCCCGTGGGTTTGAGGGTGGTTCTGTGGGCGAGCCCTGGGGTGCCGTTGCTCCCAGAACCAGAATTGGTGCACACGGAGCCAAAGCTCAGACATTCAAAGTTCCAGCCCCAGTCTCCGAGACCCCACGAGGGAGTGATGACAGCTCAGTGCACCTTGTCCCCACACAGGCACATCTGCTGGGATAGCGCACCCTCCACAGAGGCAGAGGAAGGTGGTACTGTGTGGCCCTGGCTGGCTGCACGGTCACCCAGACCACAGACCCAGAGACCAAGGAAGCCTCTGTCATACACTCACCCTGTCTGAGCAGCGTGTGCGGATGGGAGTGGACGGGGTGTCTGGGTGGCCCTGTGCACGTCCTCTGTCCTGATAGGGGCTCAGGTAGTTATCTTGTGGGCTGTCCCCGTGGGTGGTGGCCCCGTGGGACACCCAGAGTCAGTTTTCCCCAGGACTGGGGGGCGATCTGGCTGCGTGGCCCTGGTTGTGTTCTCCACTTGTGGAATTTCTGGCTTGCCTCTGCGGACCCTCCCCCCACGCCTTGCTTTCTCAATACTGTTGCCAAACATCTGGAAGAAAAGTGAAAAACTTGCCCCCCCCAGCCCCGGATACTGTCAGATTTCCAGATGTGGGTGTTCTGCCCTCCAGATGAGGGAGGGATGAGTTCCAGCTAGGAGGCGCCTGGCCTTGGCCCTGGCCTGCAGTCCCCTCACTGGGAGGCCGAGGAACAGGATGAGAGGGCTCTGGGATGGGTGGGAATGCAGGGAGCACACCAGGTAGAGGTCCCCGAGGTAGAGGTCCCCTGAACACCTCTCCAGACCAGGAAGTACCCCGGGGCCTCGAGGGGGAGGGCACTGCCTCTGAAGTTCCTATCAAAGGCTCCAGGCACTTAAAAATAACCAGGAACACCTCCTTCCCACTCCGGCAGGGGCAGGGACGCTGGCAGGAACAGAGCCCAATGTGTCTGCAAGATGTCCGGCTCTCGCAGCCTGGGGGAGGGCCTTGTGTCACCTCAACTGTCCCTCTGCCCCTCTTGGTGGCCCAATCAGTCCTGCTCCTTCATAGCCATCTGCAGGACACTCCGGGGTGAGCACTTGGGGAGAGCCTTGGCGGGGAGGGGCAGCAGTGCAAACACCATTCAGCACTTTGGGGTCCCTCAGAGCTGCAGACCCTTCTGGGCCCCAGCCCAAAGGGTCAGCAGAGGAAAACATGGGGCAGTGGGAAAGCGTCAGAGAGGGTTTCCTGGAAGCGACGGCCGTGGGGTGAGCTCGGACACCAAGTAGAAGGTACAGCAGGAACCTGCCGAATGGGGAGCCCTTGGGGGCCGTAGGGCAAACTGTGTCACTCAGACCGCAGAGGACAGTCAGGAGCAGGGGTGAGCCCTGAGGAATGGCCCTTGGGCTGTCTGGAGGCCCTCAGACCGCCCAGGAGGACTGCAGCTGCCTGTCATGAGCAGACACTCACACACAGACACATACAAACACCCAGACATAAACACGCAGAGGCGACAGACACAGACAGACACACGTCCATATGTAAACACCAGATCCGGCCCCGCAGAGACAGCACGTCTGCACACCGGTGTCCTCCATGGAAACAGACCCCACGCACTTAAAGCCACCCAGAGGGCTGACTGGTGGCATGATGGTGAGACAGCTGGATCCCACATGACTGGCTGTGTGGTTCAAGTCCCAGACCCAGCAGCTTGAAAAACACTCTGGGTGTGTGTGCGTGTAATCTCGCGAGGAGAATGAAGGAGGAGGGATTGAAGCATGGCCATCCCCTCTGCGGTGCTTTGTCACTCTCTTTGGTGCATGCATGTACTCTATAACAAGTATATACCAAGATGAACCTAGACCACCCCCACACATAGACACCCAGGTGCACACAGACGCACACAGACCCCCCCCTTAACACATACAGAGACTCGCTAACCCCCCAAGGGCATAGACATCCAGACAACACACCGAGACACCGACACGGGAATTCATGCGAGAGGCGTCCTTGGGTAATCACGGTCCTTTGGCCCCACAGGACACACGACACACTGGCCCAACCCTCTTCACCTGTTCAACTTACTACCTGCCGAGGGGCAGCGGGGCCCTGCGTGTGCACGTGTGTGCGTGTGCACGTGTGTGCGTGTGCACGTGTGTGCGTGTGCGTGTGCAGCAGTGGCCTCTGTCCCCCCTCCCTCCCTCTCCTCAACAGGTGACCTGGAGAAATGAGAGCCCTTCCTCCCCCATTCCTGAGCCCGAACAATGCCCTCCTGCCCGAAATAGCCCCTGGGCCGAGCCAATGTCCTTTTATGGGCCTGTCCCCATTGTGCACGGGTGGGGCGGGGTCAGGAGGTGTCCACGGAGGATAAAGGCCAGGCTCTGGTGCTCACCTTCCCACTCGCTGCACCCTCTCTGCCTCCTCTGTGCCGAAGCCCTTCATGGCTCCCAAAAAGCCAGAGCCCAAGAAGGAGGACCCCAAGGCGGCCTCCAAGGCGGCCCCTGCACCAGCTCCCGCGCCAGCCCCGGAGCCCGAGCGCCCCAAGGAGGTGGAGTTCGATGCCTCCAAGGTCAAGGTGTGTGTGAGGGCTGGTCGTGGCAGGAGGGGCAGGGCAGGAGGCACCCCCAGAGTAGACCCACAGGGTGCAGGCCAGGCTGCAGATGGGAGCCCGCAGAAGCGTAGTGGGGACCAGGCGGCCTGCCTGCTGCAGGGCTTCGGGCACTGGCAGAGCTCAGTCCGGCCTGGAGCAGGAAGGGAACGTCTTTCCCACGGCTCTGGCTCTCCACCACCCTCGTCTCTGGGCCTCACGTCCCTGGAGAGTCCTGGATCCAGCTGCCTGTAGCCTCTGTAGCCAGGTAGGGGTCTTCCTTGCCTTGATGAGGGTCCCAGGCCCACGCCGAGTTCCCATCCGGGTTGGACGGAGTGGAGAGGAGAGGGAAGTGCCCGTCCAGGCTGAGTCGCAATTCCTTGCCAAACTCGCTGAACCCAGAGATGACACAGCCCACCCCATCCCCGATTCAGCTTCTAGGTGGGAAATCGATGCACAGACCAGGCAGGGACTCCCCAAGAGTCGTACAGGGATCTGCTTGCAGAGCCATGACCGGTGGCCCCAGGAGCCCTTCCTGGGCTGCCAAGTCTCTCCCCAAGGCTAAACTTGGAGGACAAGCCATGACTCCCCCGTGTGGCATCTGCATAGCGGCACGCACTGCCTGCCACCTGCCTGCCTGCTCCCCGGCCTTGGCGGCCAGCAACACCTCTGCTGTGGAGCTGGCTGCCTCTGTGGGGCCCAGTGCGGCAACCCTCTGCCACGCAGCTCTGCCTCCTGTTCTTCAGCCCTACGCCTGGCCCTTGAGACACGGGTTCAAAGCCCACCTCTGCTCATCTTAGTTGCCACGCCCCTCACTGCCCTTGTCTGTGACGGTGTGTATGTGTGTGTGTTGTGTATGTGGGTGACAAGGCCCCCGCACATAGCTGCTGCACACCACTCAGAGCAAGGGCATCCCGAGGTGGCTGCCTCACCCTCTAGCCCCAGGCTGGTGACCCGCAGGCCCTGGAGAGGTTCTGATCGTGCCATGGCCTATGATCAGAAGCAGGAGTCAGGAGGCCCCTCAGGTGCCCCCCCCCCCAGCTGGCAGGTGAAGGGCAGGGGGCCTTTGCTGGGAGCCCAGGGAACCTAATCTCGGCGGCTTTCCTGGAGGAGAGCTCACTCTTCCCAACCTCGGGTTGAACAAGAAGCCAGGAAGGACGGTGTGTCCCTCCGCGCGGTGAGCACCATTAGGGTGTGCGGGACTCCCAGGACGGGCATGCCCCCTCCCCCGAGCTCCTTTCCCTCCTGTGACCTTGACCTTGGGGCAAGTGACTGCAGGGATAAAAATAGACCTGGTATGGAGTGCGAGGGGACGCCTGGTCCCAGGAGGCCTCCTGCCTTCAAGGTGGCCTCGACGTGGCCTCAGCAGGCGGCACCCCTGGCCCCCCTGTGCCCTGGGTTCCACGCACAAGGTATGTGAGACCCAGGTATAGGCCGGGCCACGTGAGTGGGGCCCGGGGTTCTGAGAGGGTCAGGCACACACATGTGTGACCATGCCTGTGCATACGTGTCTGCCACGCACGCACACACGCCTGCAGACTCGCTGCATGCAGCCAGCCCCCGGCCTGCACCCTTGCCCCAACTCTTCCTGCTCCCCGGGGCCTCTCATCCACTCGGGTCCACATCCTGCCCGTGGCCCTAGCGAAGCCAGCCCAGCCAGGTCTGTCTGTGGCTCAGGTGCGTCTGTCTAGAACCAGGGCATCAGGTAAGGCTCACTTGAGGTGAGGAGCGGGGCACCAGGCCCCCCCCGCCACTGCCCCAGCTGTGGCCCACTAGGCCCTGGGGACCTGGCACACAGGTCGGGCAGGTGGGAGGATATGGAAGCGGGAGGGGGTTGAGTTGGACAGCAGGAGGTCCTGGATGGTAGAGGCTGGATGTGGAATGGCTGGCCCCGGTGACCAGGAGGGCCCAGTCCCCACTCAGCCGGGCACTCTGAGTCCTTGGGTCTCTTTTCAGATCGAGTTCACTCCGGAACAGATTGAAGGTGAGCACGGTCTTGAGCCCAGGGCCTGTGGGGCTGAGCAGGGGTCCACGGCGTGGGGGAGGGCGGTGCAGGCTGGGAGCGCCCACAGCTCACGGCCCTCTCCTGCAGAATTCAAGGAAGCCTTCATGCTGTTCGACCGCACGCCCAAGTGCGAGATGAAGATCACATACGGGCAGTGCGGGGACGTCCTGCGTGCTCTGGGCCAGAACCCCACGCAGGCCGAGGTGCTCCGTGTCTTAGGGAAGCCGAAGCAGGAAGGTAGCGTCTGGCCACGAGCCCACAGCGTGCGGCCCGGCACGGCCAGGGCGGGCCACCGTCAGTGTCAGTCGTGGGACAAGGCGGGTACCTCCCCGCTGGACCCTTTCCTGACATCCCCCCACTGCACGAGGACATGAGGCTGGTCACAGGGCCATGCTGACAGGGTGACAGGCAGTGATGGCTGACCGGCCTCAGGCCTCCGGGCCGTCGAGAACTGCTGCCAGCGCCGACTCGTGCTGTAGCTGGTGTGAGAGCGGGAGACACTGGGTGTCCGGCAGGTTTCCCTGTCCCTCTGGGTCCCCCTGCATCTCCCAGAGGGTCAGCACAGCTTGGCCAGAGAGTGACCCCTGCTTCGCCCCTGGCTGGAGTGAGACCCAGGCCCTTGCCACGGGTTCCAAAGTCCCAGAGAAGGTCTCCGACCGGCCCAGCTGCTCCTGGCCAGCCACAGGGGGTGGAGAGCCTGAGGTCTCTAAGACAGTGGCCTGGGGGAGGAGGTCTCCCCACAGGCAGCCAGAGGGCGCTGGACCCCGCCTGGGGCTGGGTGGTGCCTGGAGTCGTCCTGGCGAGCAGGTCTCGCTAGTCCTTCATAGCCCTCTCTAGACCGTAAGGCGCGGGGCGCGTGGGGTCAGAGCGGTGGAGCCCCTCGCCCTGAGCACGGGGAAGGGGCGCCCACCCCGGCCGCGGCCGCCCTCTCTCCGCAGAGCTCAACACCAAGATGATGGACTTCGACACGTTCCTGCCTATGCTGCAGCATGTCTCCAAGAACAAGGACACGGGCACCTACGAGGACTTCGTGGAGGGGCTGCGGGTCTTCGACAAGGAGGGCAACGGCACCGTCATGGGTGCTGAGCTCCGCCACGTGCTGGCCACGCTGGGTGAGGGCGCCTCCCACGCCTCCTGGGGCATCCTGTGGGACGGGGGACGGTGCCGTCGCCCCAGGCTGTCTTATTTGTGAATAGGGAGTGACCCTTTGAGGTGTCCAGGATGCAGGTCACGGATGTCACTCAGGTGGGAAAAGCGTTTTGGGACAGCTCTCAGGACCAGAAGGGGACAGGAACAGCTCTGGGGACAGGGGGACAGGGCAGGACAAGCTGGGTTGGAACCACTCAGTCCTGCTCACTGTTCAGAGGTCGGGTTTCAGGGTCACAACTCTAAGAGCCTGCTTCTTGGGCAGCCTGGGCGGGGCGTCCAGACCTCTCTGGAGCCGTGCACCTGCCTCCCACTTACACCCACCATCAGGTGGCAGCAGGGCCCCCTCCTCAAAGTGACTTTTACCCCCGCCCACAGCAAACGCTTGCTGAATGCCCGTAAGCTCAGCCCGTGCGGGTCTCCGGTTGTGTGTGAGGGGCTGGGTGTGAGCTGGGGTGGGGAGCTGCGGCTGGCACTGAGATTTGGGGGCAGGAAAGTGCCAGACCCGTCTAGGGGCAGCGGGTGGTCTGCTGGTCCCTTACCCCGTCCAGCCCCAGGCCCCAGTTCCCCAGGTCCCCAGGTCTACCCCAGGGGCTCTTCCTCTAACTGTAAAAGGTGGGGCTGACTTCCTCCCGTGAGGGGACAGAGGGTCGTATGCCAGGCACCTGAGCACTGGGATGCCGGCTGGGAAGAGGCCAGTACTCCGGCCCTGCCTGTCTGTCACCGACCCTCCTGGTCTCAGAGTAGGGGTGATGGCCCGAGCTCTGGGAGCAATGCCAGCTGTGGGAAGGCTGGAGGGGTGGGCCCACCATCCAGAGGGGTCCCGGGGTGCCCACCCTGTCACCCCTCGGGCAGGTGCTGACTCAGCCCGCACCCTGCCAGGTGAGCGGCTGACGGAGGACGAGGTGGAGAAACTGATGGCAGGGCAGGAGGACTCCAACGGCTGCATCAACTATGAAGGTGGTCTCGTGGGGGAGGCTCCGGGGTCAGGGCGGGGCTTCAGGGTCAGGGCGAGGCTTCGGGGTCAGGGGCGGGGCTCCGGGGCAGTGCGCCTGGCTGGAGGCCACCTCTACCCTCCCTTCTCTCCAGCCTTCGTGAAGCACATCATGGCCAGCTGAGCCTCCCGCCAGGTGAGAGCCACACCCATTCCTACCTGCTGCCCGACACCCCCTCCTCTGACCCAGCCCCCTGCGGCTGCCTGTGCTCTCAGGGGGCCCTGGAGGCCATGTCAGGCGGCTCGTCTCACACTCGTGACACCACAGCACCGGCCTGGAGTCACAGGGAGGAGGGCAGCGTGTCAAGGCTCGGGCGTAACTCTCAAGCTCTGCGTGCTGTCATCTCCTGTCCCTGCTGGGCTGTGCTTACCTGTGACAGCATCTCTGTTCCCCACCCCATGGGCCTCATGAATAAATGGCTTCCTTCCTTCCTCCTCCTCGCTCCCTCCCTCCCCTCCTCCCCGCACCCCTCAGCCTCTGGCTAATGTTGGGGTGTTCCCTGGGGCATGGGCACGGGGAGGGGCAGGGGGCTCTTGCCCTTGCCCTCGTCCTGCCTTTGGAGAAGGCCATGCTGTGGCCTAACCGGGAGCTGAGGGCGCTGTGTCACTCCATGTCCAATCAGGCACCCAGGGGGACTGTCCAGAGCCCGCTGTGTGACACGTGGGGAGGCCGAGGCTTCCTGAGTCCACTGGGAGTGCGCGGCTGTCAGAGCTGAAGGGCCTCAGCCCCTGCCCTGACCTAGATGGGGAAACTGAGGCATTCTGCCTGCAGCGTGGCTCTAGGCACCAGTGGGTTCTTCAGCCCCGGGCTCTGCAGCAGAAGCCAGTGTATCAGATGGGGGCGGCGCACGCACCTCCTGCAGACCCCTGCTCAGAGCCCGGTGGGCAGAGCGAGGGGTCCCTGCAGGAGCCAAGCAGGGGAGGAAGAGCAAAGCCCTGCACACAGCCCCAGAGATCGGGAGTGGGGGGTGCCAGCCCCGGGTGCTGCCCGGGCTCACTGGGCAGGAAGCAGCCTGCAGGCCGGGAAGCCACCAGGGAGCATGGCCCCACCACCGCGGGGCCCTGGTGCCTGCTGTGAGGTGAGGCCGTGCACATACACAAGGAAGTTCCAAGTCTGCAGGGCTCAGGCCGGGGTGTCGGTGCAGTGCCCGTGTCTGTGAGTGTGAATGTGGGGAGCAGACCAGAGGGCCTGCAGGAGGGATCCCAGGACCGTGCAGTGAGACTGGGGCTCAACCCTCTAGGAGCCTTGGGAGGTGGTCGAGGTGCCCTCTGAGGGATGAAGATCCCGACTGCCCCGCAGTTCCCACCCGTCACAGCTGGGTGGGCGTCTGCTCCAGGGAGCCACGTGGGCAGCAGAGAGCACAGAGGCCCTGCCGTGGGGCGGTGAGGGCTGCGGGAGTTGAGGGTCCTGGGTTGGAGGTGACAAAAGCGAAAGCAGGGAGGCTGTTAGGAGGGTGCAGGAGAGGGAGGTCGAGCATGCCGCCTGCTGGCGGTGGAGAGGGGTTCTGAGAGTGCTCTCGGCAACATCGCGGGCAGCTCGGGGCTCTCAGGCTCTGATCCTCAGCCAAGCTTGGCCCACCCCACCCAGATCCAGCTCTGCCCTGTCATGTTTGACCACCCAGGCACTCGGAGGGGCCAGTGGCCAGCCGTGAGGAGGGGGTGGTGGCACCCCCAGCCTTGGCAGTGGGCAGCTCCATGTGCTCACGTGACCTCACTGGACCCCTCCAGCCTCCCTGGCCAGTTGTGGTGCGGACTCCCACAAAGGAGAGCGAGTGATCCCTCCCCTCAGCCAGACTCTGCCCCAGACTCCTCTCGGGCAGGACCACACCTGCCGGGCAAGTCTTTCTCTTCCAGAGGAGTCCCTATTTTCTGCCAGTCCTGCCTACCATACCCAGGAACTGCCAAGTTCACTCTCTGTAAAAATCTCCTGGGGTGCATGGGACGGGTAGTCCGGTACTTTCTGGGACCCCAGGCTGGAGCTCTGAGCAGTGCCGGCGCCTGCTCTCAGTTATCTCCGGGCGGGGCTGCAGGGCATATTGCCACCCTCTCCAGAAAGCCTGCCCTCCTGCGGCTATCAGGTGGCCCATCCGTCCTCAGCCTTCGCCCCAACCTGCCCTCCTTCCTGTGGGCTCCCTGGCTCCTGAGATTTCCCCACCGCCGGGCTGAGCACCCACATATCCCCATGCCACTCTGCAGCCCTCACCCCACCAGTCTTCTTGGGAGGAGGATGGGAGTGGCTGGTGGTCGGGGCGTGTCTGGGGGTACTGGCTAGAGCTGGGGCTCCCAGTTAAGAGCA